AAGCAGTACCTAATATTAATCTGTATATACATACATGCATATTTATCGATACGTGAACGTTTGTGCATACATATACGAATGAGTGTATGCATCTGATGAACGTACTGCCAATGAAAGATTGGTCGCGATCATCGATGTCAGCGCCGCCAACTTGCCAAGTCAAAGGTGTCACGTTTGCACCAAAATCATAAGCCAAAACAATAATGCACACACACGCTGTGACAATTGAGATATCATCTAAATACATATGCAGATTAAATCAGAATTTCTGCATACTAAATTTCTTATCAGTTTATCTACAGTTTATTCTACTTGCTAGAGGGTCACATGGACCACCCCGAAGCCATTGCGGAGTGACCCAGAGATCGGAGGAGATATAAAAGGTAAGAAAAGAAGCTGTGAAGCGATTGTTATGGTAACTTATATTCAGGTACATATAATTTATGTATGTTTTCATGCGTTATTAACGAGTTCTTATAGCCAGCTTTTAGTGATTCTCTGCTGAGATGACCAGGTAATGGAGTAGCTTGAAAAGGCGGGCGATTGGTACTTAGAATTGCGAATGGAGACTATGTAACTCAGCGCCCTCTCATCACAAAGTAAAATTATATCTGTGTTCGCAGTCGTATGCTGCGAATGCCGCATTATACTAAAGCCAGCCTTTCGACATAAGCCACTATTCCTAACGAACACAGATTTCTTTGTATAATTTTAAAAGATGTAAAAAAGTATCATTTCGCTTAAGGCCCTGTAAGCGTTTGAAAGGCTTTATTATTTTATTTTATTTTACAGGTGTCAAAATATGTACTTATTTAAATCAATAAAAAACCTTCTAACATTTATTTTTCGGTGCCGCCTGTATAGCACAAGTCCGCTCCTGGATTCGTATATCATACGCAGAGATGCGATTTTTACGATTGTTGCTCTGCCTACAATAATTCAATAAAACAATACCGAAAAGTGTGATGTGGCATAAAGCGGGTCATAAAGTTTGAGGTGTTTGATGTACATAATGTAGTTTTCGCTGGAGACAGAGATGTGTAAATGCTTTATTCACATTTATAGAAGAATGAAAATTGTTGTTCTCCATTTGAACGCATGTTGCGAAAAAATGCAATAATTTTTTGTAAAGTTACAATTTGTACTTATACTCGTAAATTTCTGGAATAATATTCTTTGAAGAATACTAGTAACGATATGTTGAAACGCTCCTCGCCACGTGTGTTAAGACCGCAATCAAAATTGAAATTAGGCTACTCGGGCATAATTTTAGAGTGAAATTGAAACCTTCCGCAAGTCGCCTAAAGGTCTGATTATGCATACTTCGCATAACTTCGCACATCCATTTGTACAAGTGGAATAAAAATTTATCTTAAGAAAATGTGAAGCAAAGTCTAAACTAAACAGATCGCTAAGTTTTTAAAAGTTCGGCTAAATTCTGGGTAATGGAATACGTACAAATTACTTACAAAGAACATACCATACTACAATTTCAAAGTTATGCGAAGTTATACGAAGTATGCATAATCAGACCATAACTCCCTGGTGAAATTTTCGGGCGATTTTCTGTCAGCCAGCATTTCAAGCTCTTCGCACTCACGTATTTCGGCCTCTCTCTTCTTATTGTAGTTCCCTATAGCGGTCCCACATAGGTCGCGCTGCGCCCGAGCGCTGTGTGGCCCTGCAGGCGGCATCTTTTTCTCTGCACGTTCTTTAGACTCCCCATCGTACCAGTTGTACTTTCGGGATAGCTGAAATCCAACTTCGACGGCGGTACTTAATGAGCGGGAAATGTGATTCCACCGCTCGCATATGTCGGTTTGTTGGAGAGCGCTCTCTGAGAGCAGGTGTGAGTGTCGAGTATCGAATGCATTGGCCGTCTGTTTTGACTGCAGCTTTTCGACGTAAAGCTTCTCTTGCATTTTTGGGCGCACATCTTTTGCTACGAAGTGCCGGGTGCGTATCTTGCCTGCAGCAAGAAATTTGTCCGAGTCGATTTTTAGCACTCGGAGTGTACGTACGTCTAAAATACTGGAAGCATGCATTCAGTCTATCACAACATGATCGATTCGTTTTCTCGTTTTTCGATCTGGAGATAGCCACGTAGCTTGATGGATCTTTTTATGCTTGAACCTAGTACTGCA